ATCTGTCCATCACCGTCATAGAATCCTCTATCTGAAACTGATCCTCTGGAATCTCGAGTTCGCGATCGATGATGTTTGATCGTTTAATGAAGTTGTACGATTATTATTTGTTCTACGGATCAGACACGAATCGTTTCTTTTTGTCGGAATTTTTTTTTGTTACAACACCTGCTGATAATATCTCTAATTAAGCTTGAAGACGAACGATTTCAGAACGGATTTAGAACGAATGAAGGTTAAATGATATTATTTGCTATAAATGCCGCGGTATTTTGCGATAAGATAATTCGATTACGTGTTATTTAGTATATAAGGTTATTAAGAAGATATATTTAACGCGGCTGTTATCAGGAATTGTAGTAACCTAAAATTCCGAAAATCTCGCGTGCGATTATACTAACACGCGCTCGTTCGTGTAATATTTTCTGGCAGACCGGTAAAACTATACATACATTACACGTTTTAGCGAAAGATTGGGCGCCGATACGCATACAATATCGTTTTTGTTAACGTTGTTTGATATTCGGTTTGCTTGCGAGGCTCGTTATCTACGGTTTTGTTTACTATGAAAATTCAGCGATTCCGTTGTTTATTGTAGCTGTGGACGGTTAAAATACGATGCGTTATCAATATTTTTATTTTAAAGCAAATGTCAGTGCCGCGAGATTAGTGTCCGAGATAGGGACTGATAGCGCACGAACTGTTGTACATGCTGGAAAATAAGGCCTATTTATGAAACACGCTAATGTTCGCGATAGTTTACGATTACGGGAAACGGTATAAACGAGCAACGCGTAATTTGCGTCCATATTTTTCGTCAGATTTCATCGGAACCCGTAAAACGTGTAACGTATCCCACAATTACAAACATTTCTACTATACAATCCCCCACTCGTATGGAGACGCATATTTCTCAATTCTCTAATCCCTTCATATCTTAGGTTCGTTGATCTCGTTGATCAGATTTCTATATTTATTCTCAAATTCCTGTTTCCTCCAATCTACAGATATAGTTATCTAGGTTTGTAGATATCTGATGCAATCTATGTTTCTATCACCTCAGGTATATTTAGCTTACTGTATCTCTAGATCCTCAGATACTTAGATTTGTACATCTTCAATACCTGTATCTTCAAACGCTATACGTATTACGAAATATATTTTCAAAGCCAGTACTTTCAAATTATATTCCCAAGTTCATATGTATATCCCCAAATCTCTGCATGTCCACATTCCTACATCTTTTTAATTCTGCATCACCAGATCCTTACATCTTCAGATTCCTATACATCCAAATGCCTACATCTCCATATGTATCCACATGTTTAACCCTTTGCACTCGAAGATAACTTTTACTGTTTGTAAACAGCAACTTTAAAATATTAAATAAAATGTTAAATGACTTCTTTTGAAGTTATTATTTCTCTACTAATAATTTCCACTATTGTCTATTTCACTATGTTTATACATCACATAAGCATTGTTATAGAATTAATTAAATAATGATTCTTTTAAATTATTGTATTAAATCGAATAGTGCCTCTTAGGCGCCTCTCGAGTGCAAAGGGTTAAATCTCTACATTATATGTCTACATCATATGTTTAGATCATATGCTACATTATACGTCTATATTATATGTCTACGTCATATGTTTAGATCATATGCTACATTATACGTCTACATTATATGTCCACATCATATGTTTAGATCATATGCTACATTATACGTCTATATTATTTATCTACACCATATGTTTAGATCATATACTACATTATACGTCTACACTATATGTCTACATTATACATATGTCTATATATAAATGTCTAAATTCTTTCCTCGAAAGGAACGAACGTTCAAACGTTCCAATCTGTCGATTAACTTCTCCGGTTAAAAGCGCAACATCGAACATAGGTCGATGTTCAGACATATGTAGGTTCGAACGTAATCGGAAACACCGTAGGATAGTTTGCACGAGGTTGTTTACCGCACGAGTTGGATTTTTCTGTATGTTTCAGGGCATACAGCTTCCACGTGTCGAGCGAGGGCCAGATGCAGCCAGTGCCCTTTCCACCGGATGCGCTGATCGGACAAGGGATACCGCGACATGCGCGGCAAATTAATACCCTTAGCCACGGGGAGGTGGTGTGCGCCGTCACGATCTCGAATCCGACCAAGTACGTGTACACGGGTGGCAAGGGCTGCGTCAAGGTCTGGGACATAGGACAGGGAGGCACAGGAAGCACCAAGTCGGTATCGCAGCTCGACTGTCTGCAGCCTGATAACTACATCAGGTCAGTGGTTCTCTTACTAGATCCTGAATTTTCCTCAGTTTCGTGCATTCAGCCCTTTGTGAAGGTTGACACCTTAATTATTTATAAATTGCACGAGCAACAAGTTTAATATTTTCTCCTTAATACGAATTTGATAAGCAACAAGTTTATATTTTCTGATAATATTCTGAGTCTACTTAAAGAGCATGTTCTTGCGGAATAGCGTCTTATTACATGTTACAACAAAATATCTGATCGAAGGTTACATCGCGTAACACATATGCACGGTAAATACATGTAATGACAATGCAACATCGTATAATTTCACGCGAGGTAATGATCTATACCAGCTTTTATAAACTTAAATTTTCGTAACATTCGACGTTGAAATTTCGAAGAAGAATAAAATATTAGCTGTAAGCCGCGTTTTACGGCGTTTCACGCGCCATTGCAAATCCCGTGTCGGACCGTTCTGAAGCCGTGGAATCAAATCACGATGCAGAAGTCATCGCAAGTGAAATATCGCGGTCGCATTACGAGATTCGGTATTCCGTTCGCGGAACGTCGAAAAATCACGGCGTCGTACACCCGCGTAGAATAAAACGCGAGGTTCGACGTTTTCCCTATAAATTTACGCGCATTTTAACGTCGAAGCCTGCGGAATAATATCACGCGCTCGATATATGACTGTTAATGTTCGCGATCCGCACGGTAATTGAACCCCGTAGCGCGTTTTTTGAACGCGCGCTCGTGCCATCGGCAAATTTAATACATTTCCACGGTAATGCATGCTTCCCTACATTAAAAGCTACTTTATGATCCATTGGTCACAGTTGCTAATCACGATCGCGCGCAGTTGGCCGATTTTCGCACGCTCGGTCGCGCAAAAATGATTACCACTTTTAAACTTCGTCATGCGGAGCGAAACGCGACAGACAGACTGTTTCGTTTAACAGAAACCAGAATCGCATTATCGATTAACTCGAACGCACGTGGAGTTTAGAAAGCTGGCTTATTCGGACAGCCTTGGAAATTATCGACCCTTTGTTTTAATAATCATAGTGCTGGATAAAGACTTTTGCAATCTTTATACTCCTTTCAGTGCTATTGTATTCAAAATTAACTTTGTAACTTTGTCGAGCGTACGTCATTAGACATTCTTATGCTATATCTACGTCAGTTATTGTTAGCTTTTTTGAATCGCATATGTTTCAAGTTTGCTTATGAAAATACATGATTTAGGACTGGGTCAGCAATTTAAATCATAGTTCAACCGATATAGATTACTTTTTTATTCATTCGATTGGAATAAGATTGATCTTGAAATCTCCGAAACTCTCTGTAACATTTGCATAAAGAAACATTTCACGAGTCGTTCGGAGAAAGTCGAGTGGACCACCCTTGTGCTAGAGAAATTCGCTGAATCAACTTGTCCCAGTCTTAGCTACTGTAATAAACGAAGCAAGATGAACATTCGTTTAACACGGTATGTCCAGGTCGGTGAAACTGCTACCAGACGGCAGAACGTTGATAGTCGGAGGTGAAGCGAGCCGGTTGAGTATCTGGGATCTGGCTAGTCCAACGCCAAGGATCAAGGCCGAATTAATCTCTTCCGCCCCCGCCTGCTACGCCCTGGCCATCTCGCCCGACTCGAAGGTCTGCTTCAGTTGCTGTAGCGACGGTAACATCGCTGTCTGGGATCTACAGAATCAGACCCTGGTCAGGCAATTCCAAGGGCACACGGACGGAGCCTCTTGCATCGACATCTCCGCGGACGGCTCGAAATTGTGGACCGGAGGATTGGACAACACGGTCCGCTCGTGGGATCTGCGCGAGGGCAGACAGCTTCAACAACACGATTTTACCTCCCAGATATTCTCGCTCGGCTACTGTCCTACAGGAGAATGGCTAGCCGTGGGCATGGAGAACTCGAACGTCGAGGTTCTGCACGCTTCGAAACCCGACAAATATCAGCTGCATTTGCACGAGTCCTGTGTACTGTCGCTCAGATTCGCGTCCTGCGGCAAATGGTTCGTTTCCACCGGCAAGGATAATTTGCTGAACGCGTGGCGCACGCCTTATGGAGCATCCATATTCCAGGTGAGAATTTTTTAATATGATTTTATTTCTGACATACATAGTAGGAGAGCTGATTTGACAATTTTCATATTTACAAGCGGTACGTTCTTAATTTTATAAATTGTCGAATTTCAAGACAGGAGAAACTCCATTTAAAGTTCTTAAGCTAATTCAAATATTTTCAAATTTCAAATGTTCAACTTCAAAACTTCACTCCCGGGGTATAACAGTTTACAAACTCAGGAAATCTTCAAATTTAAAAGTTGCATTCCGAAAAATGAATATAAATGTACATTTGAGTACATAAACCGAGTTAGACATAGAGTGAGAACCTAAAATCTTTGGAGCAAAGATTCGATGGCGTATCGGCTTAGGTTCACGAAGATCGTGTGTTGTGTTGTTTTCAGTCGAAGGAATCGTCGTCGGTGCTGAGCTGCGATATATCCGCGGACGACAGGTACATCGTTACCGGTTCAGGTGACAAGAAGGCGACCGTCTACGAGGTGATGTACTGAACGGCGGGAGCCCATTCGAACAGCGAACTCATCCGGACGAGGGGAACTCTTCTTCAGCGTGGGTGTACATAGTTTCTTATACGATATCGCGAGAGACGTTTGTTGTCGTTGTTCTTGTTGTTGTTGTTGTTGTTACTCTTGACGAAGAAAGGGTCTGTGCAAGAACGGGCGAACCAGTGACGAGTCTGTGAGAAAAGTCACCGTGATATGTCGCTCGGAACAGTTATCGGAAATAAAATCACGATTGATCGTGATAAAATTATGACAAAAAATGCGGTTTAATTTGCACGATATCGACGAAGGAAATGATCGATTCTTTCCTGTCCGAATCAACGTGTTTTTATCCGTGATTATCGATACGGACGCTTTGCGAGAAACGATCGATTTTTAACGAATGATTAAGTTCGTTTATTCGTTGCGTTAATTAGTGATGAAACGCTGACGTTCGTACCGCGTTCCTTCTGTACATTTTGTATATATCTATACATATTATATATATATATATATACATATTATATGTGTATATACGTACACATCGATCTTAAGTATACCGTGTGGCATCGATAAGCTAATATTTTTCTACGTCCCCTAAAAGCGAGACGGCAAGCGAGTAATAAAACTAAAACGTGTAAATATTGTCAGGCTTAGAGAATATAAACGAAAAATCGAAACGAGAAACGATTAAATAAAAAGCGATAAACGATAAAAGTTTCATGGTTCGATTCATTTAACGATCACTCTCTGACCATCCTTGAACCGTTCACGAAGACGGAATTTTTGAAAACCGGAAAGGAAAAAGGTGGGATCGAAAGAGGAAAATTCGACTAATCTCGTCGGCCACGAAATCGTCGTTCAAAAAAGGTACGTAGAAAATAAAAAAATCACGGGCAAATATTATCTCGACACGGTTGTAATATGAAAACCGATGAACGGTCGGTGACCATTTCGCGCCGCAAACATTCGAAAGCGGGCGAGCGTACTGTAGCCGTCACCAAAAATATAAAACAAGGGTGTCGCTGCTCTCCGGTCCCCGGAGCCAGTCGAGCCCATAAACGTGTCAGCGGCGGTTAGTGACAAAGAGGAATCCTAAAAAATAAAAATCGTGAGAGGGAGAAAGCGACGTGACGTCAACAATATTTAGTCAGAACGCCGGTTGGATCGAGTCACGAAAATTACGACTTTGGTTCCATCGATAAAAAAAACTGCAATCAACTACGTGTCGGGCGTCAGGCCAGTTCGCTTCTAGCGTTTCGCACGATTTCCGTGGAAAACAAACCGAAGAGAAAAACGCGATGACGAACATAAAAGTTTAGCAATAAAGGCGTTTTTAGACCGAACAAATATTCCTTCTTATTTCGTTTCGGTGAAATTAAAATAAATCAACTTTTTCGTTATTCGGTGATTTTTTTCGAATCGAATGTCCGATACCTTCACAAACAGAAGCGTTTGCGCGTTACGTCAGTTCGAATGGATACGATTTAATTTGACACGATTCAATTCGTCGCAATCAAATTCAATCCGACGCAGTTCAATTTGATGCAGTTTGAATCGTTGCGATTCTGCCGCGTGCAATTCGAATCGACATAATTCAACTCGTCGAAATTCGGTTCTACGTAATTCAATTCGATGTAGTTTGATTCGATGCGACTCGATTCAATTCTACATAATTCGACCCGATTGGACGCGATTCAATTCGACGCGTTTCAATTCGAGAGCATTCAACGTAAACGTCGTAAACGACCATCCTTTTCCGTTGCCCCGAACAGCGCGAGTAATAAACGTTCATGGAGTTTAAACCGAACGGCCGAATGCTCTGAAGGATGAATTGAATCGTGTCAAATTAAAGCGCGTCGAATTGAATCACGCCGGATTAAATCGCACCGAATTGATTCGACCTGCGAACGTGTTCTTATTGTTGAATCGTTCGCTCAGCGTGTTCAGCTCTACGGAACAACCGCGAAGAATCGCTCGTTTATACGAACTGCTCGTTTGCCTCCGAGCGTTATCGAAACATCGGGATAACGAGCATTCGCTCGTCCAGTAAATAAGCCGTAATTGCGCGTTAAGCATGTTATGAAAAACAGCGAAAACAAAGGAAAGCTCTAACGCCTGAAAAATGTTGTTCAAAGTCGAAAGCCGCGTGCGAATCGCGCCACCCGTTAGATAATTAGCGATGCAATCCACGCTCGCGAAGCGCATATTCAATGGAAGGTTCATTGACGTAATGTTATTATAATAGCGGCACGTTTTGCATATGTGACTGGGTAGCTGGTGCGAAGTGGGAGCGAGTGGACACCGCGCGGGAGGACGAGAGAGGGTAGATGGTCGAAGGAGGAAAGGAGACGCGTGCACGAGCGGTGCGGCGCGACGAGCGAAGCGGAGCGCACAGGTGGGGAGGGAACAGGACGATTTTACACGAGCTTTGCCGCATGCCAAGCGTATTTGCATGGTAATGATATGCGGTGCGGCAGGACCGATGAAACTGGCGGTGGCGATGTTAAAATGGAAGGGGATCGGGGAGGAAAGCGCGGGAGTTAAAGCGGGGAGGTAGCGGAACGTCGATGGCATTCCGTGCACAAGTTTTGAATGTCGCTGCTAAATGCATCAGTTATTACGGTTAATTCAGTCGACGGAGAAGCGAACAGCCGGCCACGGCCGCATTTATCCGTGTCGCGCTCGTTTTCATCTATTTCGTTGGGAAACAGGCCGATTCTCGCGTGTTGCGTGCCACCTCCCGTCCACTTTCCTTTGCGCCGTTACTCGAATCGTTTACATCGGCGAAGTTTGTTCTGCGGTAAGGGGATTAACGAGCGGGAAGTAGCCTGTCCGTTTGATCGGCGTAGTCGACGTAACGACTTAATCAACTGGTTCTAGTTGATCGGTAGACCTCCGCGATCGACGCCGTTTTATTTCATTAGAAACGTCATTTTTCTGGAGAATCGGTTGAAACGCGTCACCGTCCAGCGAACCGTGTCCGTCCGTTGTTGCCGGACCGGATACCCGATCCGTCGATCGATCCTGATCGCGATCGTGCTCCCGTACCGTGTAATTTCCATTTGACGCGAAAAAGTAAGGTAACGGCGTAATAAGGAGAACCGTGCGGCTATCATTCGGGATCGTTGGTGGCCAATAACTTGAACCGTTCGTTTCGCGGGACTCCGCTCCATTACTCCGCGCGGCAATGTCCAATTTCGCGCGGACCAGTATGCCTACCTTTCGCGTCCGTGTACCGTGTGCTACGTTGCTAACACCTATTGTTCCGCGTCCCTTCCTCCCATCCTCTCGAATAGCTGAAACCGATAGCTATTCAACGCCGTAACGAAACGGAAAGGGACGTTGAAGCGGAAATTTTTCCCGAATCTCATAGTTCGCTTTTTATGGCCGTCAAAGAAGCGTCAATCACCCATTCTTCTCGCTTTCGGGCCGTTTCGGATCGTTGGGGTCGCCGCGTTTCTCTACGCTTAGCCGATTTTACGCTTCTCGCGATACCTGTTTCAACATCCTTTTTCGAGGAACGTTGGAGAATCTAGGGAGAGGTTTGGTAACTTCTCAGAAAACTCTACCTTGTGTTCACGGACACATTAGAGAAATTCTGAGACGAGTTAAATAGAAGAATTCTTGACAAAATTAATAAAGGTCTAGGAATAACCTAGGTTATTGCAAAGAAATATTCAGTAAATATTAAGGGAAGTCTAAGAAAGTGCTGTGAAGTTCTAGAGAGAGTATCGGGAGTGCCTAGAGAAATTCAGGAGTTTATAAAGAGAACTAGCTGCACGTTCCTACACTTTCTCTTAATTAAGCGTATTTCGCGTTGCAGTCGAGTGTGCATACAAGATAGCAAAATGACGAAGAGTTGTACGAACACTGGATCTCGACTGGCGGACCTCGTGTGTTTTCATCTCGACTACCGCGAGTGGAGAGAAAAAAAAATAACAGGGCGGCGAATGTTGTCCGATTTTTATCCAGCACACCACGGGGGACCACCCAGGCGTTCATACGCGGGCCGACACGCACGTACGTATATATACGCGTTCGCGTTGCGGAGCAGAGAAGCGGCCAGCCAGCCAGGAGGGCAGGCAGGCGGTCAGGCAGGCACCCACACTCAAAGCGCTAATTTTCTCTCTGTCCGTTGGCGGCCCTGGCTGTACGTGCCGTGGTATGGCGTGGCGCGGCCTGGCGCGGCGCGGTGCTCACACAAACGTGGCAAATTAACAGGCACGCAAATGAGCGAGTTCACGCGCTCGCTTTCGTGTTTCCCCGCTCCTCTCTCGTCACAATTGGACACTAATAAACGCGCCAACGTGCCTCTCTCTGTCCCATCCTCTTCCCCCCCTGCCCCTATTATCGCTGTGTTTCATCCCTTATCCTGCCACTATTCTACGCCGTCCTAGTTCTATCGCGAGAGCACTCTATAACCCGCACTCGCTCGCTCTCCGACGAAACGTGTTTAGCGTGAAATGTTTATCTCAGTTTTACCGTCTGTATCCTTCTTTCGGTTACTTTGTACTTTTCTTTTCTTCTACCACCAACTGGGTCTTTGCTGCCGTTTCGTGGCTACTTTCTACCGCTTGCTTTTTCGAGTTACTCTGACACTTTGACGGTGCAGTCTCTTTGCTTGGCAATACCTCCAGACCACCCAACTAACCAGACAATAGAAACATTCGAATGTTTTGTTCGAGCTCGTGGCAGGGAACGAAAACGTAATTGCACGGACGAGGAAAGAGCGACAACTTTTTCTGTAATTACAAAGAAAGAATTAGTACTTTCATTTGAGAGGATACAATGTTTCCAAGCGTCAAAAATTTTCATTCGATTTATCGCACTTTTTTTCTTCTTGTCGGTGTTTGCTCGGTCGATCGACGAGGTAAAATCTTTTCTTGGAAAACGATGCCGCTCGAAGTCAGTGATATGTAATCTTGCATGCCGCCGGAGAAAGCTCGGTCTCGGGGTCCATGGTGATTTGCATGCATTAGACGAATGCAGGATCGTCGAGAATTTCAGTGGAAGTCGAGAGGTCGTGATGGGGGGAAAAAGAAGGATCAATTTCTGCAAACCGATCTCGTCTTAAAATCAGGACCTCGCCTCCTTTTATCGATCAGGTAAGTTAGCCGTTTAAGAGCCGAATTTTATCGAAATCGATTAACCTAATGAACCTCTTCGCTTCTTTTCGTTTTCTCGATTTCTTTGAAACGTGAATCTTTAACAATTTTCTGGAGATAACTCGAATTGTAGATACGAGTTTGGTAACACAGAATATGATTATTAATATAAAATACGTCAAACGAATATGTAAAACAAAATATGTAAAAAACACGTGTATGAAATTTGTTTATAGGGTTTAAGAAGTTAGACATGAGCTTAAGAGTCTGAAGAGATAGAAAGGAATCTTAAAAGAAATTTTACAGAAATGTTAGATAATCTTCAAAAGTTGTTAAAGATTTTAGGAAGAACCTAGAAAATCTGGGAAGGTCCTGATTGCATCGGAATGTTTTCCAATATAAATCGCGAAGAGAAAGCAGACCGTAGAACCCGAGAGTACAGAGAGCGCATTGATCGTAAAATGGCTGAACATCAATCAAGCTGTCGTAACTAAAAAAAGTCACCCAAATTCGAAGTACAGAGCTTACACAGACGTTTCATCGTCATCTATGTACAAATATTGTTGCAGCGGTTTTCTAGCAGCGTTAGTTTAAAAGTTTCCAACTAATCCGTCGATTTTCGCTCGCAGAAATCAAATATTGCCGGGCCATCGAGCGCGGCCGAAGCACACAGGCACAGTCGGCGCGAGAGTCGGCGGGGGCGGGCGTGTAAACCGCGCGAAAAGCTGAGGTGACGTATATGCCCATGAAAACGTAACGGCCCCGTGGCGGTTGTTTTTCTGTCGTGTTAATGCAACGACAAAAATTGCGGTACACGAACCGTCCTGCATACCGGCGCAGCTGTTAGCGCGCGCGTCGAAAACGTTCCGCCTCTCTCGTTCGCCTCGATATTGCGCTCCTCGCTCTAGTCCGCGTGTCCATAACGTTGAAATTTCGTTTCCCTTCGTGCCTGGCACAATGGATTTTCGACTTCCGCTTTTTACGCTTTCAATACCGGCGAATCGTTTAACGAGCGTTACACGCGAAACGGGCCGCGATTTTCCCTGCTCCATTTTGTCCGACAATGAAATACCAAACTGCTGGAATTCGTGGTTCTTATGGATTCATTTTGCGACGTCTTTCGGTGGATGTTGGCCCGGAGGAATGTGGAAATAAAAATATTTCAGGATATCGAATCGTTTCTTTGGCGCGATCGCCGATGCTCACAATCTTTTGCGCTATTACTTTTCTTACTCGTTTCTTTAGACGTCGTTTCTAATTGTTTGCATAGTTAAGATTTTTGTGTAAGATCTTAGTTCGATTAATAGCGGTAGATCAAATGACTTTTGCGAATTTGAGAATGTGGAAGTTAAATTTCAATTTAATCGTGAGTACGAAAATTGAGTAATTTAGGAATTTGAAGATTGCTGAAAATTCGAAGAAACGAGCGAGTGATCGTAGTCGATCGAAGAATCGAAAAATATTTTGGCTAAGCTTATTTTTAGCTTCGCTGTTTGCGCGAACGTTCGACGGCTTGCGAAATGTTCAGCAATAAAGATTGCATTTCACGGGTTAACACGCGGCTACGGTCCACGAAGTTGCCAGTACATATGTACCGTGTACACGATTAAAAACACGATCATCACGAGCGTGACTTAGTTACTGCGTACCGGTAAGAAAATAAAAAGTCCCTCGTTAACCGCAGATGATTACGTTGAACGTCCCGGAGTCTCCGGTTCCCTCGACAGCCATAAAACCGCGTAACGACACGCTGTCTGACGAAAGATCTTCGATGCGTCAATTAAAGACGGAGATTAAAATCTGCGCGAAAACGGAGCCGATTTTAATCGGTCGGTCGCGCGGAAGGGCCGGGAGGAGGATTCACGTAAAACGGCAGCTGGAATCGTAAACGGAGCTAAACATGTGTACGGACATAAAACGTCGGTGCTCGGTCCCTCTGTACGCCGCATAAATATACAGGCGCCCCTTTAGCCGATGAGCCGTGGTACGCTTAAATTTCTCGGTAGCCGGGACGTAAACGAGGGAAAGAGGAGGGAGACGAAGAAGAAGGAATTTATCGTGCGGCCTGGCTTGGCATGGCCTGGTCGGTGCAGCTGAGTGAATCGCTGCAATTACATGCCAAGGTAATTGCACACGGCGACCGGAGATTTTTATCCTCGCACCTTCCACAAAGAACCTTCTCCGCTCCCTGGCTATTCAATTTATTTCGTTCGTGTCCATGATCGGAGGGCCGCCGCAAAAAGACCGTCGTTGCCGCGCTTTTTCAGCCACCTTGAAAAATCGTGCCACGCGGTTTCCCGAGGGCGTTCGTTGCGGATAGAGAGGATTACTCGTTGGACGAGAATCGATGATTAATTCGATGATTGTTTGCTCGAGTGCTTCTTGCGCGTGTAGGCGCGAGAACTGATTTATGCAAGGTTCAACGAAACAATTGGCTGGATCATGAAGCTTTGTTTGATGCGACTTGTCTTGGTAATGTGCAGATCAACTGACCGCCAAAGAGGGCTACGAAGGTAAAGAATACTGGCATAATATACTATCTGTTCAGTTTCGCGCGATTGGATGTCATTGGATCTGACGACTTGAATTGAACATTCAGTTTGATGACTCGAATTGAAAGTACCGTTTGACAAATTTTATTATATTATATATTCACTTTAACAACGTTTTTAATTCGGTCGAAATTCAAGTCAAATTATCCTGAACTATCAGTATTGTGTTATTTTTGTAGCTTTTACCTTTATTACTGTTATTGTTTCATTTTTATTTTCATTATTGCATATTATCATCGTTGTATTACGTTTTGTTAATTCCAATATTATGCCGGGCTTTTGTTGTATATATGAAAGGTAGTTGTGCCGTTAAAACGTGATTCAATTCAATCAGGTTGAATCCGCAGTTTTTCGAATAGTTAACTGTACTGCCAATCAGAGGCCGCGAGTGCACTGTCGTTTGCACGGCCGGGCACCGCGCCCTCGCGGGCGCAGTTGCCTCATCACTGATCTGTCACGCCGTCACGAATAAGAGTATCGAAGAACGGAAGTTTTTATTCAACAATTTTACGGAAGCAAAGAGAACTCTATTTATTTAAACGTTTAATGAGAGCAAGATATCGGGAACCGCTAGAAGACAATTTTTCAATTTTCCAGCTGTCGAACGATCAGCTTAATAGACAGCTTCCGTTACGCTCGTTAAAGGAAAATAGATACCTGTCATCGACGTCGTGTGCAACTACCAATTGAAATCTGTTAGGCAGAAATAAAAACAGCCGAGCATATGAGCATATCGAGGAGAACAGGCTAGAGTAAAGAGATCTGTCAACGGCGCGATTAATGTACGCTGGTTCTCCATCGAGCGTCATCGTTTAAAAAGCCATTCGATTCCCGAAACCTTGCCACGTTCGGCATTAAGTAATTACCGTACCACCCAGGAGAGATCGTTAACGGCGCGGCGAGCCAGCCTCTTCAAACGAGAACGTCCCATTCGTTCGGAAGAACATTTTCACGGTTCGCGTGATCAAAAAATGTTGCTGCGCGTGTTCGTAAAAAAGCGAGAACAAGATGAGTCGAGCGACAGCTTATTAACGCGTTCTTACCAGCGTTTCGATGATCGATCGACTCGAAATTAGCGAGATAAGCCGTTACAAGGCTAACGGGTATTGTTCGTCCCTCGAATCGAGCACTTCGCGTTACCGATAACGATCGTTTTATTAAATCGATCTAGATCCTTTGAAGGGACAACGCAATCAAATTGTCGCGCGCATGATTAATAATTTTCAGTTGACACCAATTTACCGATCCAACCAATATGCAATCATTTTTCTGAATATTTATTCGTTCGCTTTCCATAAAATAATTATCGATGTTTTGCCATTATGTCAGTATGACAAATTGAGTCGCGGACCCGAGGGTCAAGCATCCTTTTTAGGACCGATCGTTATACTTGGATGATTAATCGATCTTATCACCCATCGTTCATAAAGTATCGATTCATCGAGGTCGATCCGATCGTTGTCCAGCATCGGTAGGATTCGCGTGCAACTCGGACGGGCTATTCGGAGGCGGAGGCGCAAGAGGTGCACGAGACGAACGCAGAGGCGGAGGGTATCGGCGGCGGCGGTGGTTATCCAGATAGCAGATAGCCAGGACGGTGGTCTCGTTTGCGGTTTGACCACCCTTGTGGTGCACTGCCCTAACCGCCCCTAACCGCCGTACCGCACCATCCGCAGCCGCGCGGTGTGTGCAACCGGCGATAATGTCGCCCTTGCTGCGGCCGATGCATGTCGTTGCACTGGCCACGCTCGAGGCACAAAGTGTTCTAGCAAATGCTCCCACTCTCGCACTTTCCGCCTCTCTTTCTCTCTCCCGTCTTCCGTTGCTGATCTAGTAAAGTATATAGACGTCTTTCGGATTAAATTTATATGTACTCGGGAATTGGGATCCGATCAGGAACTGGGTCCTTGACGGTATACCTCTTGTCCGCATCTTTATGCCCTTCCACGAGTTATTTACCGCTTCGTTCCTTTTTTCCTCGAGCAACTGCTTTGATTACTCGGACGGCAAAAAAGAGAATTCGCGATACCGGATGATCTCGATTAAAACAGGCCGACACGTTGGCTAAACGTCTTACCGGATTACTCCGGCGCAGTCCGACAAGGGACAGGTTCATCGCTGGCCGCGTTTGACAGCCTGTTTTATGCGAACGACGATACTGGCTACGAATAAATAATGACCACCGACAACTTAATTATACTTGTCGCGACGGATCTATATTAACGCGATTCACACGGATCATTTATTCCTGAAACAGTTCAAATACGATCGGGACTTTAACTGCGCCTGTTAATAATTGAACAGTACAAGCCTTGATCGATGTACAAGATCGCATCGATGAAAGTGTAAAAGTCATCCGTAACGTGTGAATATATCGACGAGACTTCGGCAAGACGTGGAATTCTCTGAGTAATTTTCGTTCAATCTTGGAAATTTATACGTTCGGTAAATTGGTAATAAGGACGTCCTTAATGACACCGACATAGAGGTTTGGGGGTGTGAAACTCCAGGAATGTATGAATGTAAGAAGACACGGATGTAGAAGGGATCCAAAAATATACCTGCGAATTTGGAGATTTAGAGATGTAGGAAGTTAGGATATAAGAATCTAGAGATCAAAGAGGACCTTAGGAATTTAGCAAAGTACGTATATTCAGATCACAGGACATCCGCGATCCAGAGATATGGGGATATAAAATTTTGGCAATAACGTTAAGATATAACACGCCTATCTTTCGCATTTCTATTACAAATCCAAGGTGAAAAATTTGTGAAACGTCTCGGGTCCCTTTTAAGGCTAAATCCGCCAGGGAGATCAGGAGGTTCCACATAACGAGCCATCGGTATTTTAAGGTCCACTTTCGAGGTTACGGTCGCCGCAGGAGTCCAGTTTCTATGCGCTTACTTATGGTGGGTAGCCGAATCGTCGGAATTTTTCTGTTATCTGTATCGTGGGTAGACTCGACCGTTCTTCTCGGCAGCTGTGTCCCCTGTCAGTGTCTCCGTTCAGAAATTAACCCTTCCGAATGGTCGAGCCTCTCGGCAGCGTTTACGAGGCTGGTCGACGACGAGAGGAAACGTTTCTACGAGGCGAATCATCGGTCACGACAAGCGATGCCCACGATCCGTGTGTACGGGTTGCACACGCACCTACGCGCGTATATACACGTCGTGGCGCGCGCGCGTGCATAGATAGAGGGCGAGGCACGGTGCAACCGCACGTGTGTACACTTTACATATGTATATCTTGCACACGACGTATGTACACTGCGTAACGCCTATACGACAGCGGGCCGCGCCTAACGAACCGAAATGATACCTACCAGTAGCGTGTACGTATATATACGCGCGTCGACGCGCGTATGGAAGCGCGTCGGGCACACAGTCGCACGGGAACACGTGTCGCCGCACAGCGAGAACAGAGCAGCAGCGGCGGCGAGCTTGCTTAATGCTTGGGCATTAACGTTAATTGATGGATTGTTTTTAATATTTAACGCTTCGTCTCTTCTCCTCCCTTCTTTCTTGAGGTACTCCGCCTCTGCTTTTCTCGCTTCGTCTTTGCCTCGTTCGCATTACGTATGCGCGCGAGCAAAAGGGTGACTATCGATTATCGGTATCGTATCGATATCTTATTGGTATTTAACATGGATAATATCGTTAATTCGATCGTGACGGGAGTTACTCAAGTTGATCGGAGTAGGACGCATTAAATTCATCGTTACACTGCTGTATCTTGTACAACATTGTATGTGTTATAAATGTACAAATATAATAGGCGGATTTGTTATCAAAATCTTACCATTGGAAAGTTACGTAGTTGGGAATTGGAAAATTGAGCGGCGATCAGAGGCTGCACCTCCGTACGACACGATGATACCATAACGATATAATCGATATTTATAAATAACGATATCGAAAATCACATTGTAATTCCTGGTCGACGCGTCTCCTCGACTCGATGTTCGTGTTGGCCGCATTACGAACATAAACGGTTCGTTCGGTCCTGTTGGTATTGCCTCCTTTGCGGACAGCTGACCACGTTTTATGTCCGAACACACTCTCTCCGCGTTGCCACGTATACACGAGTCCGCATCGAAGCGCCGATATACGAAGAGAGGTTGACGACGACGACGACGACGAGGACGACGACGGAGACAACGGAGACGACGACGACGACGTCGGAACAACACGATCATACGCGTATATGGCGGCAGAAGATCGCGGGTAGCAAAAGGGAGAAAAAACGAGGGAAGGAGAGAAGAGAAGCCTGTGAGATAGCCGTGCAGCCGACACATACGGTAGTCGTAGATCGGCGAGGCAGACAAGGGACTCGAGCAAGCAAAATGGAGGGCAGGCGAGCGTGGAATATAAAAGGAGGAACGTGAATTCATATCTCGTCCGGGGGATCTCGCTGCTTTGCTGCTGAGAGACTGTTTTCGTGGGACGGAGAGAGAAAGCGGCGCCAGGGGATGAAGAAAGAGGGAACAAGGGGAAAGGGTGAAAAGAGAAAGAAGGATCGGAGAGCCTAGGGGCAAAGAAAGACTGCGAGAAGGAGAATGAGAGACTCGAGAACAGCCGGCCGTGGTTGCTATCGTATCTGTCACGAGTGCGACGACGACGTTCGAATATCCCACGATTAGAAGGACAAAGATGGAACACGGTTGCGGCAATAAGGGCGATAGAAACGGCAATCTGCTCGCACGGAGTTGTCGCCGCACAGCGAGAACAGAGCAGCAGCGGCGGCGAGCTTGCTTAATGCTTGGGCATTAACGTTAATTGATGGATTGTTTTTAATATTTAACGCTTCGTCTCTTCTCCTCCCTTCTTTCTTGAGGTACTCCGCCTCTGCTTTTCTCGCTTCGTCTTTGCCTCGTTCGCATTACGTATGCGCGCGAGCAAAAGGGTGACTATCGATTATCGGTATCGTATCGATATCTTATTGGTATTTAACATGGATAATATCGTTAATTCGATCGTGACGGGAGTTACTCAAGTTGATCGGAGTAGGACGCATTAAATTCATCGTTACACTGCTGTATCTTGTACAACATTGTATGTGTTATAAATGTACAAATATAATAGGCGGATTTGTTATCAAAATCTTACCATTGGAAAGTTACGTAGTTGGGAATTGGAAAATTGAGCGGCGATCAGAGGCTGCACCTCCGTACGACACGATGATACCATAACGATATAATCGATATTTATAAATAACGATATCGAAAATCACATTGTAATTCCTGGTCGACGCGTCTCCTCGACTCGATGTTCGTGTTGGCCGCATTACGAACATAAACGGTTCGTTCGGTCCTGTTGGTATTGCCTCCTTTGCGGACAGCTGACCACGTTTTATGTCCGAACACACTCTCTCCGCGTTGCCACGTATACACGAGTCCGCATCGAAGCGCCGATATACGAAGAGAGGTTGACGACGACGACGACGACGAGGACGACGACGGAGACAACGGAGACGACGACGACGACGTCGGAACAACACGATCATACGCGTATATGGCGGCAGAAGATCGCGGGTAGCAAAAGGGAGAAAAAACGAGGGAAGGAGAGAAGAGAAGCCTGTGAGATAGCCGTGCAGCCGACACATACGGTAGTCGTAGATCGGCGAGGCAGACAAGGGACTCGAGCAAGCAAAATGGAGGGCAGGCGAGCGTGGAATATAAAAGGAGGAACGTGAATTCATATCTCGTCCGGGGGATCTCGCTGCTTTGCTGCTGAGAGACTGTTTTCGTGGGACGGAGAGAGAAAGCGGCGCCAGGGGATGAAGAAAGAGGGAACAAGGGGAAAGGGTGAAAAGAGAAAGAAGGATCGGAGAGCCTAGGGGCAAAGAAAGACTGCGAGAAGGAGAATGAGAGACTCGAGAACAGCCGGCCGTGGTTGCTATCGTATCTGTCACGAGTGCGACGACGACGTTCGAATATCCCACGATTAGAAGGACAAAGATGGAACACGGTTGCGGCAATAAGGGCGATAGAAACGGCAATCTGCTCGCACGGAGTGGGACAAGGACGAGCAACGTAGTCCGCGTGGACTGTGCGGTTGAAAGCGGCGCGAAAACTGAACGACCAATCGGGACGCGCCGTCGACCAATCAGCGTCCGAGTTACGAATCCGCGCTCGACTACTACCAAGTACCGTCTCTCACCCGGACCAGTCGTTCCCGAACCACGCAAGGAGGTAGGTTCTTTTGTCTCGCGGAGCTGTGAATACACGATGCGTGTACACAATGGCCCCTGCTAAGGGTATCGGCGTGTAGGCAGGTGAGAAAGTACGGAGAAAGAGAGAGACCCAGTACAAAATTCTCCGAGTATTCACTGGTATTACCGTGGATATAACGCGTGGTTTTTCGACTAGGTTTTTAGAGACCGTTCCACGCCACGATAATAAAAGCGCGCACAGATTAGTTCCGATTCCCTGCCGGTGCAACGCTGTTTGTGCCAAATGCAAAATTATTCGTTGACCCCGCGACCAACTTATTTCCTAATACTCCGTTTATCTTAATGCAGACTCATACTTTAAACGGCGTCTAAGGTCGACCTGTCTACGTAGTCGATCGATATATTGCGGAAATCTCGGTCGATCGATGGTATCAGCGTTTCAGAATTTCCTGTATTTACCGAACTGTACCGACAATGTACACAAATTTATCGCCAATTTAAGAACATGCGGATTTGCGGATTAAATATAGATCTTTCAAAATTTAGAATTCTAAACAACTTGGAAATTGGAGAATTTTAAAATGCGGTACAATGGTTTCGAACCATTAGTACCACTACCGAACCAAGGGTTCCACGTAAAACTTAAACCTGTCTACCTGAAAATCCCTCATCGACGATTCTGTTAGCAACGCTTTGTACAATGTTCGAGCAAATCGATCGAAACGAAGTACCGCGTGTATAATAGACTCGAAGGATGTTTCGAACAATCCGATTAAATCGAGGCTATTGGTCGATTCGCGAAAACACGTTCTTCTTAACGACCGGGGTAAAGTCGCCATATGTGTCGCCGACGAAACGTAAGATGCCCGTGTAACTCGGTAATCGGTATTAGACGCGTGTTTGATTCACCGTCTCGTTCGTTTGGCGACTTTCGATTCTCCCTGTATCTGGCAGAGTATTCTCGTAAAACGCGACGGGTACCAATCACGGGCTTACAAGGCAAACCTAACGAGCGTTTCTGAAAGCCTTCACCGGAAAGATGTTTTCTTAGGCTACGGAGAATTAGCGTACTTAAACCGTTTACAGGCAGATTACGGCGGACTACCGTGCCATACGCTCGCACACACGCGTTAGAGAAAGCTCGTCGCGGGCTGCGTTTTACGACCTTTAATCGAGCATCATCGAGAATCGTCCATTGAACAGGGCTGAGCCTCTTACCTTCACGAAACATGGACTTTTGTCCGCTGAAAAACGATCAGTGTCTGTTACGAACACCTGTGCTTTTTAGTCTTCTCTTGTTTATTGATTGCCGTGTGTTAACTTTGATGATGCTTTAACGTTTTATGAAATCTTTCATTTTTGCCTGGGATCGATCATTTTCTGGATTATCGTTTTAGCGAGCTGGTAAGTGTTGAATTTACGTTACGACGTTCGAAAACTTTGTATAACAACAAAAGATTGCAGCAATTTTTATATCGACACGAATTATATTCTGGCACGTAAGCCTCACACTGTATTCTCAAATTGTGGAATGTCTAAATTTCTAACATTGTAAATTTGGAACGAAGAATATTGTATTCAGAAATTTTTTAATTATTAAACATCTCGTTTATACATTTTCAAGTTGCCAAATTTTTGATGTTCTAAATTCAAGATTGTCATAAAAGTAAATTGCGAGGTCCATGAAAATTCACCAAATAATTTAACTGGGCATTTGCTTCATTATCCTTCAAATAATTGAATTAGTCTCCGGAAATTTACATCCCCGAGGCCCGAAATATACAGTAAATTCACACTTGCTAAGTTCTTTTAATAAAACTCGTTCTAAGAAAAAAATAAAGATGATAATCTAGCGTTATCATGGTAATAGCGTCGATATTCTAGGAAAGTTTCGCGCCACCGGCTAATGTATGGTAGACAGATAAGCGGACTTCCGTCGGAGGTTCACAAAGATCACGGTTTTAGAATATAAGCGCACTGACCGCAAACAGAAACTCCGGGATTACGACTGTGAATATTCTTAAGATTTTCAAGAGATTTCGAAGCGTAATACGACAAAGCCAGATATTTACGGGTTTATGCTGTCCCGGATTTAAAAGATTAGATCGGCGCAGAATTCACTTACAGTGAAAGTTCTGAAAAATGTTTGCAACGACGGGGAAACATTTAAGCAAATAATCGTGATAGGAAATTACTGTTTTCCATCGAACGCTATGTTTCCTACTTTCGTCGATAAATATTTGTAGGATATTTCATCGTGGAGTTATATTTATTCGCCTCGTATGATTTAAACGAGATTTTTCAACTCAATTTTTGAATTTTCTAGTAGAATATTTTATCGATCAAGGATTAATTTAATATTTCAGTTATACGCGCGCTCGAAAACTCGACGTTTATTTCAGGCTATTAAATCATTTGTGTAATATCCTCGTAGAACTGTTTGAACTTAATGTATCAATATTTTCGTACATTATACTCGAAAGATATCGTTGAAAATATTATAAAGATCCCTCTTTTTTTCGATTAATTCGTACGTTAAAATAAATGCAAAAAGAACGATTAATTTACAACGATGTACCGTTCAGATTATTTCGCACGAGTATTTGCAACACGTTTAAACACGGATGATCGTTTTCGTTGTATAACTCTAAAATCAATAGAATCGATGTCTGCGCGTTTTCAACAGTGACACTTGAAACAGCGTATCGTTATAAATTATTCAGTTGACTTTTTCTCGAGGCGCGCAAAGAAATACGAGCAAAAGAGATAGGAGAAAAGAAACCTTCCTGGAAATGATAGTTTCAAAACGTTTCAGCTGTTTAGGTTTCCTTTCCGCGCTCTGTTAATACTTATTCCCATCGTAGTGGCCCGTGCGACAGCTTACAAATATGTTTGACGGCTTTGGATCGTAGCCACGTTAAAAGTCCGTCGAAAGTTCTTACAAAACGCGTGTTTCGCGTCGTTAGATCGTCAGATTGCTACACATTGCGTCATGTCGAACCCGTGTTTGCATAATATCTTGCAGAAATTTACAAATTACGTCTTTTTCCCGTTCGGAAAACAAGGACAGCCTATCTTTCCGATCGTATAAATTTCATTTTAATACAGCTACTGACCTATGAATCGAACGAGTTGCAAGTAGAGTGTGAATAGCAATAAAATGTGTACAGGTTCGATGAAAACTGCATGCATCTTTAATGAAAAGTGATTTATTTCATTTATTGGAAATATTCGTGGAAAAGATACGTTTAATTCAATAATATCGATACAGTGTGCAATATTGAAACACTAAATTGGAGAGCTTTGTCGAGTCGAAAGTACTAAACCAAACGTTTATCAATTAATGCAATTTTATTTTTATTCATGGCAGAACGATAAATCAGAATTGTTCGTACAGTTTCGCGTCAATTTTTTGATAATTCTTTCCGTGATATTACATGTTACGTATCATCGAACATCCAATTAGATCTCTCGATGCTTTTTATTGCAGTTAGAATATCATGAAATTTATATTCTTTTACTCTGGTTGTGTTTTTAGCTTCTGAAAGTTTGAAACTGTGGACCTCGAAATTTTGGATTTCAACTTCAAGGGCTGCGGAAGTTTCAAATTTCTGGATATTAATAATTTAAAGTTCATTTCGTACAGTTAATTTCTGAACTTCGAATTTGCCTCGCATTTTTTCCGCGCATCTAACATCGAAATTCTGTAACGATTTCAGTCTAACCCCCCTAACTATCCAATTGTTAGATAATAATCTAAAATTTATACGTAGATTGAAAGGATTCTATCTTCATGAATACCCAATAGATTTAAATAAAGGTGCCTTATACTAATAATTGCGTTCACATGCTAATGTAAAACATTGAAAAATGAATACATTGTAAACAACTATCCTGGTAGTTGTACTACGACATTGTACCACGTTAACTTAATTTACTCGTGATTCTGCATAAGAATTTTAAAGAAAAAATTTTTCTATGCGTCAAATAGTGAAAAGTAAAATTGGTAAACAAAGATTCTTGAGAATATTCTATTCCAGCATCGACAATCCACTTTCGCGTCGCAATCCCAATGATTGAACCTACATCGGTTTTCGAGCATTACTCGGTTCGGTACAGTATAGATGATTGTACGTTGTGAATGGAGCTTCAGACATGATCTCCGAGTGAATTGAAGCGAAGAAGCATCGAGCGGCAAAGCGCGCGGTTGTTAGACACCGTGAGTGCTTATAAATTATCAGGCCAACCGTATCGACGGAACGAGCGTGTATTATCTCCGGACGAGCACTGGTCGCAGCCTCCGGACCGGGTTTCCATCGCATCGGTCCGCTTCGGTTTTATCAATCGAACCGACGACCACGACGACACCAAATTATTCTGTTTATCGAACGGAAAACGCTCTCTCAACAGCCGTGCTGGATACGTCTGGTCGTTTATCTGCTCCGCCTCGTCGTATTTCTGCCTGCGGTCCCGTGTCTTTCGTGTTAGACCCGCGTGCCCTGCTCCTTTTTCTCCTACCCGCTCCGGAGATTTTCGACGTTCCCTCGGTCGACAAAACGGGGAACACGCGGGGAGAGGAGAAAAGGGGATGAAAGGAAGAGTTTCGACGTGACAGAACGACACGACACGAGCCAGTCTCCTCGGATACGTCCGGCCGATCGCTACCCACCTCTTCTGGCTCCGACAAATTATTAATCCCGAAGTCTTGACCCCTTTCGCCTCTTAATCCGGATAAAGAAAGATATCTCGCGCCTTCGGGGACAAAAGGAGAGACCGAAGTGGTCTCGACGACCCTACTACTCCTTTTTTCTCCCGCCTTTTCTTTCTGTTTTCTTTTTTTTATTCTCTCTGCTACCCTCCGCCTCTTCTTGTCCTCAGACTACGAAAGCTTCCTTTTTATCTCCACGGTCGTTGTATACTTTTTCCATTTTCTTTGTTCGCCGTGACAACGAGACACGCTGCGCCGCGTTTATCTGGCCGCG